GGGGCGGCTGGGCAGCGGCGCGCGCAGTTGACGTGGTCGGTGGGGCCGACGCCGAGGGAGGGGGGCTGAACCCGGAAGTGGGTCGGCGCTGGAGCGAGCGCGCCGGGAGTGGAGCGCGGCGGCCGGCAGCCAGCGGGGCAGCCCCGGGTTCCCGGTAAGGGTTCTACGGGGCGCTCGCCCGAGGACCCCGGGGTGGGGACGGGAGCGGGTTGGCCGCCGGCGAGCGCGCCGTCCCCGCCGGGGCTGGGCCTGCGAAGGCGCCGGTGCTGACGGGGTCGTCCCGGAGGTTGACCCCGCTTGTCCTGCGCGGCGCGCTCCGGGGGTGGCGCCTCCGCGGGGCGGTGTCGGCCGCGGGGCGCGCTGATTCTCCAAAGTGGGGAGCCTTACCCGCCCCACAACAGCGTGTGATCGGGGGGACTTGGTGCCCCGGCGGCGCAGGCCTTATTGTCACCAGCCCCGCGCCCACCTGCCCCCTCGCTCGGGGGTCGCGGGCGCCCCTCCTGCCCCGTGCGCCCGGGCTTCCCCCGCGGGTCCTTTGTGGGTTGTCCTCCCGGACGCGGCCCGCGGGGCTCCCCGCCCTGAGGTCTCAGCCCCGAGGGAGTGGACGCTGCGATCTGGCCGTCCTTTCGGGTCGGGAGGGCCGAGGGGCGGGTGGGGCGAGGGGCTTGGGTTTGGGATCTAACGCTTTTTCCCCTTCTTTTGCAGCTCACGAAGCCCTCGGGCACGCCCCTCCGGTAGCCGATACCCAAGACAATCTAGTTTTTTATTTTATTTTATTTTTTTCCCCTTGCTACCTCCCTCCAGCCACTTGATGAAGTTTCTCGCCCCGAAACCGTCGCCCTGCAATGAAGAAGAGGAGAAAGGCGACTCTCAGCCTTGACGACAAGATCCGCCTGGGCTGTCACCGCGATCCCCCCGAGGGGCATGTCGCCGCCGGGGCGCGGGACCCGCTGACCTACGCCCCCCGCGCCGCCCCGAGACCGACCCCCCCAGAGGCTCTCCGCTGCTACCGGGACCTGCCCCCATCACCGCCGCCGCCACCACCACCGCCTCCTCCCGCCGCCCCCGATCAGAGGAAGCTCCTGAGCTCCTGGCAGTACCGCCGGAATCTGCTCACCTACCTGAACGCCGACCGGCAGAAGCAGCCGTCCTTCTGCGACCTGCTCATCATCGTGGAAGGGAAGGAGTTCAGCGCCCACAAGGTGGTGGTGGCCGTGGGCAGCAGCTACTTCCACGCGTGCCTGAGCAAGAACCCCAGCACGGACGTGGTCATCCTGGACCACGTCCCCCACTCCGTCTTCCGGCACCTGCTGGAGTTCCTCTACACGGCCGAGTTCTTCGTGTCCCAGTACGAGATCCCCCTGGTCCTCGAGGCCGCCAAGTTCCTGGACATCATCGATGCGGTCAAGCTGCTCAACAGCGAAGGCGTCCACCCCCCGTTCCCGCCCCAGCGCCTGGAGCAGCCGCCCCCGGAGGAGTCGCTGAGCGGGTTGACCGGCGGGCGGCTGTCGGATGACCATCGGTGCACCTTCTGCAGCAGACACTTCTGTTACAAGAAGTCCTTGGAGAACCATTTGGCCAAGACGCACAGAGTCCCGCTTCTTGGGGAAAAAACATGGGCTAAACATGCTGGACAGAGGGTTTTCCGCCAGGAGGTCCAAGAGGAACCGGAGGTGCCCCGTGAAGTTTGAAGACGCCGCCGCCGCCGGCGATGACCAACGAGAAGGTGGCGACGGGTCAGACAGTTTGAACCGAGACGGTTTCGAGAAGGGGAAGCCCGATCGGAACGATTCCGAGGACCCGGGAAGCGAAGGGAACGCCGAGGAAGATGAGCTAGAGGAGGAGGTGTCCGATGAGTTCTCGGACACCGAAGGGCCAAGTGACAAGGAGCCGAATGGTGCAGAGGAGGAGGAG